TGTGTAACATCATCACTGTCTAACTCCAGAACGTTTCATCACCCCAGAAAGAAACCCTCTACCCATGATCAGTCACTCCCCATTCCTCCCGTTCCCTCAGACCCTGGCAACCACTAATCTACTTACTGTCTCGAGGGGCTTGCCGTATAGTGGACATTTCATATACATGGAATCTTACAGTGTGTGGCCTTTTGTGTCTTGGCTTCTTTCGCTCAGCATAATGTTTTCAAGATTCATCCATGTCGTAGCATGTGTCGGTACTTTGTTCCTTATTATGGCTGAATAATGTTCCATTATATGGACATGCATTTTATTTATCCATTCATAAGTTGGTGGATATTTGGGTTGTTTCCACCTTTTAACTATTATGAATAATGCTGCTATGAACATTTGTGTACAAGTTTTTGTGTCAACGTATCTTTTCGGTTCTCTTGGATATACACCTAGGAGTGGAATTGCTGGGTCATATGGCAACTGTCTCTCTCTCTCTCTCTCTCTCTCTCTCTCTCTCTCTCTCTTTTTTCCCCTAATTTGTTGAAGTGAAATTGAAATAACATCAAAGTAACTATTTTAAAGTGAGCCATTAAGTGCATTCATAATGTTGTACAACCACCACCTTTATCTAGTTTCAAAATATTGCCATGATCCGTCACCCATTAAAGTTTCTCCCCATTCCCCAGCCTCTGGCAACTACCAGTCTATATTCTGTCTTTATGGGTTTGTCTATTTTGGATATTTCATACAAGTGGAACCATAGAAATGTGACCTTTCGTGTCTGGTTTCTTCTCCTTAGCATATTTTGGAGGCTCATCCATGTTGTAGCATGTGTCAGTACCTCATTCCTTTTTATTTTTTTTAAGGTCTTTATTGAATTTTTTACAATATTGCTTCTGTTTTATGTTTTTCGGGTTTTTGGCCACGAGGCATGTGGGATCTTAGCTCCCCAACCAGGGATCAAACTCGCACCCCTTGCATTGGAAGGCGAAGTCTCAACCACTGGACCGCCAGGGAAGTCCCTTCATTCCTTTTTATGGCTAAATAAAATTCTGTTTAACTTTTTGAGGAACTGCCAAACTTTTCTAAAGTGGCTGCACTTACATCCCCACCAGCAACTTATGAGAGTTCCACTTTTCCACATTTCTGCAAACACTTACCGGTTTGCATTTGTTTGATGGCTAATGATGTTGAGCAGCTTTTCATGTACTTATTGAACATTTGTATATTTTCTTTGGAGAAACATCTATTCACATCCTTTGCCGATTTTTTTAATTGGGTTATGTGTCTTTTTATTATTGAGTTGTAAGAGGTCTTAAATATTTTGAATACTAGACCCCTAACACATGTATTATTTACAGATATTTTCTCCCATTCTTTGAGCTGTCTTTTCACTTTCATGGTAATGCCCTTTGAAGCACATTTTTCATTTTGATGAAGTCCAGTTTATCTATTTTTTTCTTCTGTTGGTTCTCCTTTAGGTGTCATAGCTAAGAAACCATTGCCTCATCCACGGTCACAAATATTTACCCCTATGTGTTCTTCTAAGATTTTTATGGTTTTAACTTACATTTAGATCTTTCATCCACTTTGAATAAATTTTTGTGTATGGTGTGAGGCAGGGGGTCCAACTTCATTATTTGCATATTGTCCCAGCGCCATTCATTGAAATGTCTGTGCTTTCCCTCACGGAATTGCCCTGGCACTCTTGGAGAAAATCAGTTGACCATAGATAATATGGATTTATTTCTGGACTCTAAGTTCTGTTCCACTGATCTGTATTTCTAATCTTATGCTGATAGTACACAGTGTAGCTTTGTAATAAATTCCGACATCTGTAGCTTGAAACAGTTTTAGTTGTATGCTGAGTGTTTTTATTCTTAACGTGTTAATTGGGATTAAAGAAAAAGTATTTTTCTTAAAAAGGAAAGTTGTATTTTTAAAAAATTATAATTTACTTTATTAGTTCTTTGCATAGTTAGTGTAGCTAGTCTATGAATGCTTATTTTATAGGGTCTGAAACTAAATTTTACTTTTACTGTTGAGGAATCAAAGGCCTAGTGGTGTAAGTAACCTACGGTTGGATACACAGTAGGTATTTAATATATTTCTGTTGATTTAAATCGTCTTAGATGTTATTAGTTCTTAGTTTGCTGACAACTGTTTGCTTCTACCTCTGATTTATATGATACTGAGTCTTCATGGCCCATCTGTCAACCGTGTTGCTTACATCACAAAGTGGGTATTTTTTAACAAAGTACTTTGTGAAGTGGTCTCTAGGAGTGCATCAAGGCAGAGCCTGTACTCTCCTGAGTAAATGCGACTGTAAGCGGTAAAGGTTTTAAACAGTGTACACAGCAAATAATTTTAGGATAGCACTCAGCTACATGTAAGAGAAATTCAACTATGGTGATCTAACCGTGTAAGGTTTTATTTTTCTCATGTAATAAGGAGACCAGGGGCAGCAGTCTGTATGATGGTGCACTGTCAGCAGTATTCTATTTATGCTAGACTTCTGCTCTGTCATTCTTGTGTGTGGCTTTCTTCTTCATGCTTATAAAATGGCTGCTGAGCCTCCCAGCATGATATTCCATTCCAGGCAGAACGGGTGTGGTGAGAGAAGTGCAAAAGGCACGTGCCAAATGCTCTGTCTTTTTTTTTAAAAATCACAAATCAGTTTATTTTTCTAGAAACCCCCACTGAAAAAAGTATTTACAAATTATTAGCCAGAACTCTGTCACTTGTCCCCCTAGTTCCAAGAGAGCCTGAGAAATCAAGTTTCTATGGGCATATCTTGTTTTACTACACTTGCAGATGGTGCATTTTTTACAAATTGAAGTTTTGTGGCGACCCTGACTTGTCAGATGATGGTGAGCATTCTTTAGCAATAAATCATTTTTTTAATTTTTTTATTTTTAACATCTTTATTAGGGTATAATTGCTTTACAGAGGTGTGTTAGTTTCTGCTTTATAACAAAGTGAATCAGTTATACATATACATATGTTCCCATATCTCTTCCCTCTTGCGTCTCCCAGTCATTTTTAAATTAAGGTATGTACTCTGTTTTTTTAGGTAAATACCATCGCACACTTAATTAACTACCATATAGTGTAAACATAACTTTTATATGCAGTGGGAAACCAAAAAATTCGTGTGACTCGATTTATTGTGATATTTGCTTTATTGCAATGGTCTGGAACCAAACCTGCAATATCTCCAGGATATGCCTGTATAGTATTTTATATTTCCACCTGGAACAAAGTTAGATTTATGTTAATTTGGAAGAAAGGGAGAATATTTCAAAGATGGAGAAATTTGGACTAAAAAGAGCTACCACCGAAAAAGATTTAAAAAATCAGAACTGCTAAAAACTAAGGTAGCATGAAAGAGAGTGGTGATCAGTATTTCCATCTCTAATCACATTTTTAAATATATTTATTCATTCATTACATCTTAATTGAGCACTTACCGTATACCGCTGTGCTCTCAGCACTTCCTGTCTTACATCCTACTTAATCTGGGTGTCATCTACAGTCTCCCCTCAGTTTCCCTCTCCTTCGGTATTGCTCTAGAGAAATCACCAGTTTAGGCTGTCTAAGCAAATCTGCCTCTAGTCTTTTCCATTGTGACCAGTACCCTCATCATTTAACTTTTTTTAGGAACCAAACAAAGGCAGGATAAATTCAGGGTTTTAAGAGAATCAGAACACATGACTTGTATTTAGCTTTATTTATTTATCTATTAATAAATTTACTTATTTATTTATTTTTGGCTGCTTTGGGTCTTCATTGCTGCGCGCGGGCTTTCTCTAGTTGCGGCGAGCACAGGCTACTCTTCGTTGCGGTGCGCGGGCTTCTCATTGCGGTGGCTTCTCTCATTGCAGAGCACGGGCTCTAGGCATGCGGGCTTCAGTAGTTGTGGCTCCCGGGCTCTAGGGTTCAGGCTCAGTAGTTGTGGCACACGGGCTTAGTTGCTCCGCGGCATGTGGGATCTTCCTGGACCAGGGCTGGAACCCGTGTCCCCTGCATTGGTAGGTGGATTCTTAACCACTGCGCCACCAGGGAAGTCCTGTATTTAGTTTCAGATATCATTTTCCCCAACTCCCCCATATTTCCATTAGGAGGTAATGGAATATTTTTATCGGTAGAAATGTTTAGGATAGGTAAGTGATTTCCTATTCATTTAAAATTTTCAAACGGGCCTGGATTTTATAGGATGTATAGGATGTGTGTGTGTGTGTGTGTATGTGTGTGTGTGTGTGTGTATATATATATATATATATATATATATGTATATATACATCCTATAAAATATATATATATATATTGATTTGGGGGCTAGATCTCATGACTTTTCACATCTATCCTAAGTCTACTATTTTAAATTAGATGAGTGAAATGTAGGGAAGGGCATATTGTAACCAAATTTGCAGGAATTAGACGCTTCACATGTTTGTTAAAACCTGGTATCTGTTTCTCTTAGCGTTTTAAAATCAATTTTTTTTTTAATTTTTTAATATTTTTTATTTTTGCGGTACGCGGGCCTCTCACTGTTGTGGCCTCTCCCGTCGCGGAGCACAGGCTCCGGACGCGCAGGCTCAGCGGCCACGGCTCACGGGCGCAGCCACTCCGCGGCACGTGGGATCTTCCCGGACCGGGGCACGAACCCGCGTCCCCTGCATCGGCAGGCGGACTCTCAACCACTGCGCCACCAGGGAAGCCCTAAAATCAATTTCTGAGGTATAATTTTTCTAAACAAACTCGATTTACTGAAATTAAAGTGCTAAATTGAAGTCTTTGTTCTGACGCTTGCGTTAATGATGAGGTAACTGGACTAGTGTCATGACATTTGGATCCCTTAGATAACACTGGAAAGGCGTCATGGAAGGGAGCACAGTAGTGTAAGTGAAGAAGTAGGACAGGCCATGCAAAGGTGGTTAAATTTTCCTGTACATATAATTGGAATGAAACTTTCAGTTTTCCTCTTTGTTTCCCCCCACTTTCAGATCCAGTTATGGGACACAGCGGGACAAGAACGATTCAGAAAGAGCATGGTCCAGCACTACTACAGAAATGTACATGCTGTTGTCTTCGTGTATGATATGACCAACATGGCGAGTTTTCATAGCCTGCCATCTTGGATAGAGGAATGCAAACAGCATTTGCTAGCCAACGACATACCACGGATTCTTGTTGGAAATAAATGTGACTTGAGGAGTGCCATTCAGGTACCCACAGACTTGGCACAAAAATTTGCTGACACGCACAGTATGCCTTTGTTTGAAACCTCTGCTAAAAACCCCAATGATAATGACCATGTGGAAGCTATATTTATGACCTTGGCTCATAAGCTGAAGAGCCATAAACCGTTAATGCTTAGTCAACCCCCTGATAACGGAATTACCCTGAAGCCTGAACCAAAGCCTGCAGTGACGTGCTGGTGCTAAATCACAGTCTTTATTGTACAATCTAATTTTGACTAAAGAAATACGTTTGAGGTATGACAGTGATAAGTCGTAGAATTTAATCTCAAATACAATGGAGCATCCTGACACTTTACTGTTCATCATTGTCGTGCTTATTTTTGTATTTTGTATCTACTTCATCAAGTTTGTCACTGCGACAACACAAGGAAAAAGTTAGTTTTCAGAGGTTGAAGTGAAGCAGAGTTAGCATGAATCAGAACATCTTTCTATTGAGGGCCCCATGAGGAGGCTGCAAATGAGAGTATGATGGCATTTTAAGAGTCAGTGATTGTTTAATCCTGTGTTGCTGCAATTGAAAAAATATATTAAGGGTTTAGTGTACTTACTCGTATGTGCTTTGAATGGGAAGTGTTCTCAGTAGCATAAAAACTGGTATTTGCCCCTCCCTAGAGTTCTTTCTTTGTATTATTAATGTACTTAAATGCATTATTATTGGTACATTGTAGAGCCAAGACTTTAGTTCCAGTGGAAGGAGAGAGCCTAGAATGTTTTCTGGTGCTCAGTCCATAAAGAATGACCTTTCCAGCAGTTCTGGATGCTTAATATTTCAAATCACTATCAATCAGGTCTACACACACAAAAAAAATCATTGTTATTTTTAAAAGAGTAATTTGAATTGTTTTCTTACTAAATTCTACACAACGTGCAAAAGTAAATCAGATAGTAAGGTGCTTTATACTTTATTTTGATACCTTTAAACATTGAAAAACTAATTGAAAGATTTGAGGAGATGTAATTTGGGGAAAAATAGCTAAACATGGTTCCTGGCTACCACAAAAGACCTATTCCTGGCTTTTTGTCAAGCCATGTGTCAGATATAGTATCCCTCGCTCTCCCCCAGCCCCCAATCAGCTTAATGCCTAAAGGCTGAATAAGCACATCATCTTCCATTTGGATTGTAATGCTGAGGGCATACCTGTAATTGCTATGAGTCTACATTTTATTTCTGTAACAGTACATTACAATACTTCTGTTGTTTAAATCTTTAAATTTTTATGGTCACCACAAACTACTCCTCCTCAGTATAAAAAATAAATTAGATATTGAAAAATATCTAGTCTATCCCTTGGTGGTAGAAAGAATATTTCAAAAAGTTTTTTTTACCCTAACTACTTTTACTTTGAATTTAAGACTTTGCACATAGGAAATAGTAAGCTTGCATGTGAAGCTATTACATGAATGGAATGTAAGCCATGAACTTTATCTGAAGTGTGCACATTTACTAATTCTGAAAGATTGCTGAACTTAATAATTTTAGAGGAAATTAAGCCAAAAGATGATTATACTTAAAATATTTTCAGAATGTGGGAAACCAATTAAATATGTGATGTAATCGAGTTTAGGATTTTTTGTTTAATCATGATGGTGGTCCTGACTGGATAATTTGCTTATGAAAACAAGATAATTCTATTAAATGAACTAATGGAAAGTAATAATTACAGGAAATAATTATTCTGTTTTAAACATTAGAGCTTAAGGAAAAACAAATTGGCTTTGTTTGCTTTTAAGAAGATTAATCCATTTTTCTTATCATGGTAGAATTAAAAATGGTTTGACTTTGCCTAAATTAGTGTTGATTTGCAACTATTTTTATAGTAAAACAATGACAGCTGTTATAATTGTCATGGGCGTAACAGTTTTTTAAAGAAGGGAATCTGTTTATTGCTTATCAAAACATTTTCTAAAGTGGGGAAAGAAAGTTTACAGACTTTCCAAGCACTTTTTTTTTTCAGTGCTGTTATTACTCATGTTTTTAAAAAGGTAATTTAACTTTCTCTTTGTAAGAAGTTAGTAGTAAGTATCCTTTAAAGTTCTGTAAAAGGACTTATTTTTTCACTTCAATATTTATTAATTTTAAAATATTTGTATCCCATTTGTAGTGATTTATTGTTTTAATTTTTTCTACATATGTTTTTACTTTTAAAAAGAACATACTTATCAGTTGAATGGGGTAAAGCTTTTAGATATGTTCCAGAATATTTATAAAACACAGACTATTGAGAAATCACTTACAAAATGGTGGCCATCAAACAACTAATTATTAATTTTTAAAGCACAAATCACACATTTTGTAACTCCTGTATGAATTTATTTTAACTGTGACCTTTAGTTGAAAACCTAAGATATGTTTTGGAAAAGTCATAATTTGAGAACACCGAAGGAAACGAATCCCGATTCTAATGAAGTAAGCTATTCAGGACAATGCTTTATTGACAGTGTATTGCTAATACATTTCCTCATGAAATCTAAACTACAGTTAAGTAATTTTGTTATGGAAGAGCATCACTGTAACTTTGCCCTCATGAAGTTCAGTAAACCAGCTTTGGCATAAAGAAATTGTGGTTTATTTTCTTTGTTTGGTTACTGGGTTGAGCATAAAATAAAACAAACAAAAAAATCTCTTGTTTTCCTCTGGCTTCCAGGTAGTATGTAATACATTAGAATCAAACAGACAAAACCTAACCCATTTGGAAATACATTCAAGGTTAAAGAACGTTTCAGGAAAAAACCCTAAGTATTAAAATTAGCTGATAGGGTAGCTTTTTTATTTGTAAGGCTGAGTAGTCCAACTTGTTTAAGAACAAACACTTAAGGTTGAGAGTCCGCCTAACGATGCAGGGGACACGGGTTCGTGCCCCGGTCCGGGAAGATCCCACATGCCGTGGAGCGGCTGGGCCCGTGAGCCGTGACCGCTGAGCCTACATGTACGGAGCCAGTGCTCCGCAGTGGGAGAGGCCACAACAGTGAGAGGCCCGCGTACTGCAAAAAAAAAAAAAAAAAAAAAAAAAAAAGAACAAACACTTCAGTGCAAATGGCACATATCACAAGAGTGGTTGGCATCTGTATATTTAAAGGTAGAAGAATTTAGCAGGATGAATAAAAAGTGAGAAAGAAGAGAAGGGAGTAGGTGACAGGTATAAGATTACAATTTCTGCATTCAGATTTCTGATTTAGTTAGGCTCTTTCGGAGAATGTTTTGTTTTGTTTTTGGAGACTTTTTTTTTGGCTGCATTGGGTCTTCGTTGCTGTGCGCGGGCTTTCTCTAGTTGCGGTGAGTGGGGGCTACTCTTCGTTGCAGTGCGCGGGCTTCTCATTGGGGTGACTTTTCTCGTTGCGGAGCACAGGCTCTAGGCTCGTAGGCTTCAGTAGTTGCAGCACACAGGCTCAGCAGTTGTGGCTTGCGGACTCTAGAGCGCAGGCTCAGTAGTTGTGGCGCATGGGCTTAGTTGCTCCGCGGCATGTGGGATCTTTCCGGACCAGGGCTTGAACCCATGTCCCCTGCAGTGGATTAGGGTTAGGGACTCTGAAGTTCGTGCTGCTTTCCCTGGTCAGTTTATTTCATATATGTTACTCTTCTGTTCAAACACAAAATTACATTATTCATGAAAGACTGCTTTTTAAATAGTAAGACAATAGGTTGGTCAAATCTTTTGGGGGGCAGGCTCACTAGAGCCTGTGTGGCAAATACTAATTCATTTCATTTGTTGGAATAACCTGCTTTATCAAACATTTGTGTTAGGCAGTGAGCTACATAGATGAGTAAGACTGTCCTTGAAGAACTTACAACATAACATATAAACAAATAAGAATTCTACAGTGTACTGTGGTAAATGTAACTAAAGAGGCAAACACAAAGGATGATGAGCACAGAGACTGGCGTGATCGTGTGGCTTCGATGCAGAGGAGGGAGTGTGCAGTGAGATGAAGGGGTGGTCAGGACACTGGGTGATGAAGCCAGCAAGGCAGGTTGTGACTGAACCGCCAAGTCGCCACATGCAGTGGAATTAGGACTGACTTAGGTGCAGGTATCAGGAACTCAGGTCACATCCGTCTACAAGGGGGGGTTTATTGTCAGGAGTCTGACTTGTCTGACGTTAGACTCCAGGACAAGGATGCAGCTAGACCCAAGGAAGAGCTGGGATTGAGGACTCGGTCTCCTACCTCTGGGCTCAGCTTTGCTGCCCACCTTCATGCTCTCTCTCTCTTGTAATTGGATTTCTCCACTCTTCTGGTTCACTTGGCAGAAAACATGGCCAGTAACCGCTTCTGAGCTTCTGCATGCTGCAGGCATCCAAAGAGAAACTGACTGAGTGTCAGTCCCAAGTCAAAATGTCTAGGGTGGCCTGGCTAGAGTCAGGTGCCCGGCCCAAGATCCATAGCCAAGAAAAGATCAATTACGGAATTTCCACATTTGCGGGGAGAAGGAATTTTGGGGAAGGGAAACAAAAATGAGAATAGCCACACAAAAACATTTGAGCTTTACTATTTAGACAGTGGGTAACTAATGAAAGCATTTAAGCAAGGTAGTGAGTGAGACCATCAGATTTATGCCTAAAATTCCAGAGGTGAGGGGAAGGCTATGTGGGAATGGAGCCATGGTGGCCAGTTTACTGTTATAGCCTAGAAGAAAGAACTTTCAGTGGGAAGTTGACAGAAGAATATACCATACAGCACTTTTCTTCTGTCTGGCTTATTTCACTTAGCACGATGCCCTCCAGATTCATCCACGTTGTCACAGATGGCAGGATTTCCGTCTTTATAAGGCAATAGGGACTTCCCTGGTGGTGCAGTGGATAAGACTCCAAGCTCCCAATGCAGGGGGCCCGGGTTTGATCCCTGGTCAGGGAACTAGGTCCCGCATGCATGCTGCAACTAAGAGTTTGCATGCCACCATTAAGGAGCCCGCCTGCCACAACTAAATAATGAATAAATATTTAAAAATGAATGAATATAAAAAAAACAGTAATATTCCTCTGTGTGTGTGTGTGTGTGTGTGTGTGTGTGTGTGCGCGCACACACACCTGTGTATCACATTTTCTTTATCCATTTATTTGTCAGTGGGCACTTAGGTTGTTTCCATACCTTGGCTATTGTGAATAAAGGCTGCAATGAATATGGTAGTACAGATATCTCTTTGAGATAATGATTTTGTTTCCTTTGTACACCCAGAAGTGGGGTTG